TTATTAAATCTAATATTATATATATTATATTTATAGAGACACAACACACACACAACACACACACCACATCACACACACACACACACAGACATACACCCACACATACTCACACACACACACACACACACACACACACACACACACACACACACACACACACACACACACACACACACACACACACACACACACACACACACACACACACACACACACACACACACACACACACACACACACCACACACACACACACACACACATTTTTTTTTCTACGCGAACGGGAAACGGCTTATGAATTGCGCCGGCAGACGGATCCGGCCACGCGAACGGCCGCACGTGTGTTGTGTTTTGGAAAGCGCAAGTGTCTGGCGGAGCAGGTCGGGTTCGTGTCACGCTTCAGGAAAAAAAAACGTCAAATACTCCAAAGCCCAATAAAGGAAGAAGAAGAAATAACGCCAAGATGAATTCCATGTTGAAGAGGATGAGGCAGGACTTCAACGTCTACGTCGGGGCGGAAACAGGAGTGCTGAAAGGTGCGAGGAAGGGAACGGAGACAGGGTTTTTAAAGCTGGTTTTCTCAGTCTTGTGATGATTATTTTTCTGGTCCCACTCCGCTGTAGCGCTCTGCAGGACCTCAAGAGATTATGTACCTTCATCATCGCTTTCTTTTTTGTATTTTTCATGGGCTAGTGGTTCATGGTACCTTGGCCTTCGTAACAGTGGATCTATCAGGTCATATTGAAGCGGAATCCTCCCTTGCTCATTCAGACTGGTCAGGTCAACGAGGCCATGTTCAAAGCCTCTAAGACCCTTGCTGCCCAGAATGCAACGAGCTCGATAGTAAAATTTCACATTTTTATATCGTTGTCTTTATTTTATGCGCTGCATGTAACACCTTTAATGCACATTTAACTTCCCTGCAACTGATGAACAAAAATATCCTTTGATGAGATCAATTAAGGGCTATAAGATTATTCATCCATGTCTTGTAGATGCTTGCAACTGTCATTGTTTACATTCAAATGTTATTGAGACGTGATCTTCCCCTGCTTGCCCAGCTTAGCAGGAGGGTGAGATGGACAAGGTGAACAACTTATCCAGGACGATTAAGTAGAGGTTCTGATCAGTCAAAATGTCTTGTCCAACTTGTCTGTATGAGCAGGACATCAACACATTCATGTATACATCAGGTATCAGCTTCTGATTGGGTTGCTAACTTGAAGGCACTAATAAAGCATCTTTATAATTTTACGCAAGTTTGGCCCAATGCATTACAATGATTTTGGTATTGTAGGATTCCTCCCACCTTCTACCGTGTAAATATTTGGACTTTATTGCGTAGTAACCTCCCTTCATTAGAAACAGGGTTGGCCCAAATAGTAAGGGAGGGCATGAAAGATTACAGGGAAATCTCAGGGTAAAATCTAAATATGATATAGTAAATAGGACACTATACTATATATAAACAATGATTAAGTCCATGCAGTGTTTAAAGCACCTTGGTTCAAAGGACGTGATTTCTTCTGTAGCTCTTCGTGTGTTAGTTACTTCCAATATTTGCCTGAATTGCAACAGTTTTCTTAAAGTTGGTACAGAGCCTGCACTCAGTGCTTGATAAATCAGGACACGTAAGCTAAAGATTATTCTAGCATTTATAGGTAATTCGTGGAGGTCAGTCAACACCGGTGTAATTCTTTTATGAGGCTTGACTTGTTAGATTACTTTTACAGTGGTATGCAAGACAGGAACTTGGTATAATTTCATTTTCATACAGCCATTTGGTACAGGGGAAAGTTTTCCTGTAATGAACAGAATGACATATAATCAGAAAGAAAGGGAAAAAAATACACTCACTGATACATGCAATATAATTGTACATGCAAAGAATAACATCAGAAATGAAGAAAATAGATAGTGACGAATGTCCAGAGAATAAGTCCATGGCAATTGGATTGGGGTCCAGGGGCAGGGCCCCAAGGTTTAGAAGGGTTTTAGTTCACATGGCAATGATTATGGATTCCCACGAGTGGTAAGAGTTAAAGGGACTTGGTCTCAAAAGACAATCATTTCCTGAACAATTACCAGTTCTTTGACTTAAATCATTAGTGATGGAAAACAAAAACAGAGCACTTATTATAGTGTGGATAATTGAAAGAAATTAAATTGCAGGTTTCGTTGCAGTGTGAAACTAAGAAATTACCAGAACTTCGGTAGAATATAGTAAATTGAGTGAGAATAGTCCACTTTTCTAACAACACTGTTTTTCGCTACTATTTAACAGAGTCCTAGTCATAATGTTTATTGACAAATGCAGTTTCTAAAATATCAACCAGCAATCTTAACCACCTTAAGATGGTTTTGAATAAATTTTGTGTTGATGGAATGGGTTGATATAATAATCACATATGTCAGCAGAGTAGAATAAACTTAGAATTACATGTAGGGGTAGCAAAATGCTTTTTAGGTTGTTTTTGTTTGAAAGTCACTCAAATGGTTAT